GCTGAAAATACTCAAGGTTGTCGTCAGTGACATTTCACAAATATTTAATTTGCTTCACTCAAATGGTAGAACTGCTTCCACGATTACATTTTAAACAGTGCGAACAAGATGGAATTTTAATCATCGGACGTTAATTGTTTTTCGTTAATTAATCGAGATTCGAGATTGAGATGTCTTTCATGGATTTAAGTTCAGTTCGTACCTTGTTGACCGCACGTAACGTTCCTTACGGTCTTCATTTTCAGTAAACGACACAATGTCAGCGTATTTAAGGCACAAAAATGAGCTAGAGGCTGAATAATTGTGTACAAAGAGTTGATGCATAAGCCTATTAAGGCATACCTAATCTTTTAGGTATGATAGACGACTTCGCATTCAATCTATTAATTGCGCTAGGCGAGGAGGAAAATTGGATATCCACCAGATTGTTTTTTGATTGACAAATAAACAAGAGAGTTTTGATAAAACGAAATTGTACGCAACCGCAATGTCTTTTATTAGCCTTCCTTTATGTGTTCTTAAGCTTCCACGCTATTTCGTTGATGTTGAGTCAGTGAACACTGATTCACCAGAAGACAGAATTTATCAGTGAAATTTGATACTCATCCAAATGGAACTGAGTATGTTCCGCAACAAAAGACTGTTAAAAATATTAACTGCATTTAATCAAAGATGCGAGAGCATCATACCAAGAGAGGTGCAGTATCGAAACACATTCATACATGCATAGGAGAATCACATTACTTTTCCTGCTTCTTCTTTTGTCCTGTTATTCAGTAGGCTATGGCAAAGTCAAAAACGGCCTTTTGTATAATTATTTGAATTTAAATATCCGTTTGTTTGTGCTTACATTGAAAGTAATAGCGATGACTCCATTGATTATGAAATCCTTTGAAGAGGACCGCTTCGTTAATATTTAGGTGACTTGTTTCGTGCAGTTGAACCTGCTTTTATTTCTGAGATATGCGTTTACTGTAGAATAACTCCCATTCATTACCCATGCTTATATGTGAATCCTGGTTCGATTAGTTTTAGGTTGAATTATTTGTATTAGGTGATCAGGTAAATTGTACTGTGGCAAATTCAAATTCTAACATTTAGTAGTAGTTTTTATCACACCTTACATGAACTTAGATTGAGATCAGGCTGAAGTGGAAGCCAAATTTCGTTTGCTTATTCAGGTGACTGCATATTTTTAACTGAAAAATTTACAGTGATTTAAGATTCGAAAGAAGGATTGACATTCCTCTGCTGATAAGCATTAATGCGGTGACCCGCAGACTGGTTCGGTTCTGTCAGAACACCAGCACCACCGATGGTCGTGGAGTCCATACCTGAGTAAAATAGCTTCTGCCCGCAGAGGTTCAGAATTTTAGATTTCTTTGGTTTCGTTTAGAGTCTAACTAGTCCAGTTGGTACTTTATGAACCTACGTAACTAACTTCTGCAATTTCTCTGAGTGACGTGATGTTTCAGTGACTGTAATTTTATCTGACTTGCCATAATTGCGTCGCTCTGTCTGCCTCTTCCATTAATACCGGTCAGAGACTCCGCTGCTGACTGATATCTTTGTCATTTTCGCGAAGATCTCTTATAACCCTCGCCGACTTGCTGTGCCTCTGGTTACCAGATGGCGTAGGGCAGTTTGATCGCTGATTTTTTTTCAGTCTACATATTTTCCGCAATAGCTTGCGCGGCTCTTGGTTTAGTGCATGATGACCGAGCTGGTGTAACTTTCCATTGCATCAATACCATGTGGGGAGTGTAAATAATTTTTACGCAAAATATCGCCACCGTCCTCAGCCTTCCTCATTTAGCGCTGGAGCTTAAGATCGGTGATGGAATGTTTAGATCAGATTTGGAAATTAAATCGTTCCTCTGTGGAATCACAGGTCTATACCAGTGGAAGACTGATCTAACTTTATATATCTGATCAGTTGTTGTGACTGCAAAGTTCTCGAAATCAGAGCAATTTGAAATCATTAAATGAACCGGTTAGAACTTAAGCTATTCGGGATATTTTCTGGTTCGTTATATCAGTTTTTCATGACAGGCCGTATGAGTTTTGGCGTGGCAAAGCCCATCACTAGGTAGCAGAACGTGAACGGTGCTGAAATGGGATTTATTGATGCAGTCGTCCAATAACACCATGGATAAATATTATTGACTGAAACTTTCGTGAAACTGAACGGGTATAATGAAAACCTTGGAAGTGTCGCAAGAGTGATCTGCACCGCCGATCGGGTTAAATCGCTGCTGTTGGAAGCTCATTTGTCATCCGATGATTGACAGCTATTGATCCAGCATGAAATTCAGAAATCCTTGCCGACCGTCAGTTCATGATATATTTTGTCTGAAGAAACTTTCATATGTAGCCGAAACCCGCTCCCACTTTGTCGTTTGTTATTATCGCGCTACTCGTATTTTACCAGGAAATTCTTAACATATCTCTTTGCATAATTTATGGAATTAAAGAATCACGTAATTAATCGTTTG